TAGGAGTTTTGAGTAAGATAAGATACAGTGAAATTGCAAAAGATCCTGAAGTAAGTACCTACTCCAGATTAAATGAGTCATATCAGTTCCATACAGCACACCTGAAAGGAATGCGTCGAACAGTTGACAGTCGTAGATGTGTAGAAAATAATTCGATTCGGTCAGATAGACCATTTTAATATAGTGCTGATAGTCTCAAGATCTTTGATTCGTCGTGCGATTTTTAAATTCTTAATAAATTCTCATAGATGACCTATCTGGGTTCGTTACTACTGTGACATGGTTACCTCCTGGTTACTTCCTCTAGGTGACATTCAAACATGGCTTCGAATACACATCACACCTAATCCTGCATATTTCAAGTTAACTTCGACGCAGTTGTGAGCCGCTCTTTATTCGTGTTAATTACAATTTAGCCCTTGCGAAATTATGTGGACGGCTAACGTCAATTATCTGGCATTGGAAGTTTGCCCAAATATGCGAGCAGCTAACGTAAATTATATAATTTAGGTAAAAGAATTACTCGATTCTCGTGTGTATTACTTCTATTTTAATTTTATCATTTCATGAACATAAATTGGAGAATTGATGTCTTAAGGTAGTTATAAAAGTTTTACTGCGACTGTCAGTAAAATTTCGGTTCTGTCATTCTGTGCCAGCTCGCGTTTCTGTGTATGACTGAATCCTTATCCGTGCGTTCGTAGTAAACATGAAGTTCAGGGTTCAGTCAACGAAAATGAAATGGGTATAACCTCATCACATCCGAATTCACGCTTCTAGGAGATCATAAAATGAGATACAAATAAAGCCATACATTTAACTAAAAAATGTTTCAAAACCCACTGGTGGGTGTTGCCACGTAACAGAACTGTAAATGATGGGGTAACGGGCAAATACAGACCATAGCAGCTGTCAATTAGAGAAAACCCGAACTGTCTAGGTGGCCCGGTGGCTGAGATCTCGATGGAACAGAAAGACGACGGAAAATCGAGGACATAAGCGTTACCTCACATCTCTTAAACATAGTCGCCGTTGTAACGGTACATTCCGTTAGGGTTTTAATTTTTAATGTACCGCTTGATGCGAATAGTAATCTGGAGTAAATTGAATAGCGACAGCCACACGGGTTTGGGTAGCATGGGCTCAGAATATAGAGTACGCTACACTATACAGAAGTTTGTTTTCATGTCGATACCTTTGATCGTTTGATGTCCTTGTTCCTAAATAAAACTTACCTCTTATCAAAATTGTGGGAAGTAAGAGAGGCACTGGCTTTATTCTTCATGGTACTCTAAAAGGGACACGATGAAAGGAAATAATTTCTGCAAACCACAGTCCTTTTCCTTGACCCCTTATGGTGATCGCTATAATTCCTTATATCTCAAGAGCGGATTGTCGGAGGAGGGTACTCAATAAAGAGCGATTAGGACGTCTGGAAGAAATATATCCATTGGTGATGTCAAAACTTTAAAAGCGAATATCGACGAGACATCTATTGGTGAAGTCGAAGAGAATATCTTGAAAACAAAATGTCGGAAGAAGGTATTCATAAAGGGCCAGTGGAACGTCTGGACGAGACACATCTACTATGACTAGGCTTGCCAGACGTCCCGGTTTGACCGGGACAGTCCCGGTTTACGCTTAAGATCCCGGTGTCCCGGCCGGTTTACTACACGTCCCGGAAAATATTAAACTTTGATTAGATGAATTTACGTATTAACGTCCATGCTATAGTAACAGAGCAGAAGCTCGACTCTCCCTCCACTACAGTCGCATATAGACTCGCATGCAGCTATGCCGTGACTAAGTAGTATTGTTTCCGTCACGGTCACTGTCGTGTCGTCAGGCGCCAGTCAGCCTTCTGCTAGCTACCGTTTGTGCTGTAGATGATTGTTGTTGAGCAAAGTAAAGTTAGCCTGTATACTAAAATAATGTCTGGACTGATGATCGGGGGTTAATGAAGGAATCAACGGTAAAAGGCTTGATGACTTGTAAAATTAACATCGGCCTGAGCTGTGAAGAGTTTTATAATAAGATTAAAAACAAAAAAGAAGTGCTAAAAATGATTCAAGCCAAAGAAATACGTAAAAGAACTGTATCTTCTATCTTTGAAACTCTGTATGTTTTGTCACTTATTAAAACGTATAAGAATAAAAATGTTTAATTTCCTCAGTCATACATACAGCCTTCATTTACCTACAACTTTCTGCTAGTTTTTAATTGCCAAAATAGCTTATAATATCAATAATATTAATATGTGATTTCTGGGCATGTAATTTTCAACATTTTTTTTCCGGGGGAGGGTCCCTTCTTTTGTCCCGGTTTCTCCTTGGACAAATCTGGCAAGCCTATGACATAAGATGTCAAGAATTGTTGGCACCTGGATTTCTATTGCTATTGGGGATGCGCGAAATACTAACAAAAAGACTTGAGCGAAGGGCAAATTAAATTCTTTTGTGACCGTCAGAACAATAAATTCGACGAAGTTTGAGTTTTAGGTGAGTTACGTACAAGCAAATTAATATAAACAGATAAGGAATTAAATGCAAGTGCGAACTCATCTATGGATATATGGATATCCCTGAGACTGTTGAAGGCGTCAATTAGGATCTCCTTAATCTGGGACAAACCGTAAAAGTAAATACATTTTGTTATCATAGAAAGTTTTGTGGTAAAAAAATGAGAAAACCTGATTTTCAGTAATATCTTTAGGTAATCTAAACGGTATGCCCATATCGTTCTTTTTTCGCGCATTTTTTTTTTGTTTGCATTTGGTCCGTCCGTCTGTCCGGACCCACTTCTACAGTTTTGAAATACTTTCAGAGGAATTGTCTTACAGTCCTGAAATTTATTGCAATATTGCCCATGAATTATTTCCTCAGATGCTGTTCTCTTAAAAGGGTAACGTGAATAACTTTTACATGCGACAACCAATTGGTGCATGTCTTTAGGGGTGCCAAGTAAAACTTGAAAATAAGGGGGGGGGAGAGATGAACACACGTTCTATTCTGCATGGTATTCTAATGAAAGGTCTCATCGAAATGAATTGGGTTTGTACAAAGGTTTCTGGGCGACTCCTTTTCGAGATCTGTGGGTGACCGGGGAGGGGAAGGGGGGTGGAAACGCATTTTAGCTTTCATGGAATTCTAATTAAGAATCTTGACGAAACGTTTTGGTACAGTCCGCTTAAGGTTGATTCTCCCTATACATAACGTTTCCATACCATATCCTTTCCATAACCATTCCGTAAATTATTATACCTATGAAATTGACCTTTAAGTGATATGTGCGTAAGACATTTAGCCGCGCGCTAAGTCCAAAGGTTTGTGGTGCGGCAAATGGGAACACAGAAAGGATACTCCGCTGGAATTTACCTGGACATCTCATTCCTTAAAAGTGTTAGGTGTAACTCTCAGTCCTAAAGAAATAGGATCCAACACAATAGCCGAAGAAGATTTGAAACAGAAAGTTCGCAATGCATTGGATAAATGGAAATTCTGAGAGGTCGTATAAGAATAGTAAATGCTTTCATAGCACCCAAAATGTGGCATACGTTACAAATACTAGCAATAAAAGATCAAGCACTAGAAGAGATCCAAAACATGCTCATAGACTTCGCATGGCGAAACAGGAAACATTGGACCGACAAAAAAACCCTCACACTACCAATTTGGCAAGGCGGAATGGGGATGGTAAATATAAGAACCAAAGTCAATATGTTTCGAGTCTTCACGGTACTGAAATATTTCAACTCCTACGGAGCACACTGGACGAAAATGATCGACTATAATTTCATAAAAAGCAACAATAGTGACCTGTCGTGGCAATACCTCTATTGTAAACCAAGTAACTCAGGGACATCCGTATACACAAAAAGCCTAATAAAATCTTGGAACACAGTCCCTTTAATGTTAAAAAATTTTCCGTCGTGTCAACACGATCTTAACATGCTACCCCTGTGCGACTGCCAATTGTGGCCACAAACAGCGAAAAATTTAATTAATAATGACATATATGGTACAAGTGTGGACTAAATAACATCGGAGACTGTACAACAGGAACCAAATGGAAGGTGAAGGAGGAATTGTTAAAAAGGTAAGTTACACCCAGGGTAAAGCAGAACATGTTCTCAATGTATGATCTTAAAGAATTAGTTGGAGTAACTTTCCCGGATGTCGTAGGCGTAGTCGGTGCAGGAAAATGGCCCCCAGAAATATATTTCGAGAGAGAAACAGGAAAAAAGATAACTCTCAATTCCAAGACGAGAAGACTGTTGTACGAAATGCAATTGAATGAAGGATCTGGGAAACCCGACAAACTTAAAGGGAACTGGGACGAAAAGGAAATATGTTGGAGTGAAATGTTTAAAAATCCATCACTCGGAATCGATGCTGTCACCTCATGGCGATTCGCAAAAAACAGACTGGCCGACATTATTTTTCTTAACAAAATTGGTGTAACTACAGATAAAAACTGTTATGGTGCAACGAGGACGGTACAGCATGGCACTTAATAGTAGAGTGTAATTTAACAGATGAACTGTGGAAAAAATACTAGTGTGCAAATTATTAAATAGACAATCAGCAATGCCAAGTGATATGTATATGTCGTAGTCTTTTAGTGAAATCCGTCATTTCACGAAAAGCCTAGTCCGCGGCTTAATAATTTAGTGAAATCTTAATAATTTAGTGAAATGCCGATAATTTGACGCATGGGGTAGTTTGCCTTCCCCTTCTAGATCGATAAGGAATGCCATTTATCGATTTCGAAGAGGAAGGGAATCCAACCGCTTGGCCCTAGAAAGTACCAACCGAGGTACCAACACTATGCAGCAGTTTCATATAAATGACTAGGCGTTTCGTGAAATGACGGATTTCACTAAAAGACTACGACATATAGACTTTTCAAAAACAGAAACAACAATCCAGAAATTAATTTACCAAACTTTTTGATAGTGTTAGCCATAAGTTGCCACGTTTTTTTTTTATTGTTGACTCAGGGACGTAGGATCTGTAGATCAAGGAGGGCATTAAATAAATAGATTTCTCATATCTCGATTTCAGTGAGCGACAGTAAGCAACCTGCCAGCTAGCTCTAATAGACTTTCTTTATTACAATAAACGAAAATACTTTGAAAGGAAACTTAATAACAAAATCAGGCAAAAAAAATTATCGTAACCAAATGGCTCATGAGAACGTAAATTCCAAGATATGATCATATCAGGGTTACACCAAATTCCTTTCCTTTAACGTAAAACACAACTTTTCTACATAGGTAACAATTAAGTAGGTAACAGGTGGAAATCAAATTAAATCTTCTTGGTAAACAAAGGGGACGGCACAAACAGATATCTTATCTGGGTGGTAGAGGTTCTGCAACGGCTATGGGCATTTAACTGGCGTTTGACGAGAACGGCGCTCTAATTACGCCCCAAACTAATGACGTGACGTCTGCGTCTTAGTTAAATTGAGTGAGTCCAGAAAAAGAACCCTAAAAGGTATCAAAAAAAATGTTAATAACCTATTACAGTAGTAGGTGGTAATTACCTCGGTGATCTTGAGGGTTTCCACTCAAAGATTATTAGGAACCTATTTATGTGTGATGAATTGGTTCGCCTAAACAGTTTTGCATGATTGTGTTGCTAAAATGCAAAATTCTAAATTAATTTACATTTTCGGTGATATAAAACACTTACGTGACGTGATTCCAAATAATCCCAAAAAGGAATATTAAAGTAACAATCAAACACGGTAATTACTTTAATTGGTACAGAAGTCACTGAAATGATCCCAAAATTTTCGGCAATGATTTATTAATCAGTTTGACTTCAAGGAATTCACGTACGCAACATTTATCAAAATTGTTCTCTCTATCAGCGCACATGCAAAATCGTTGTAAGCGAACATAGGCGGGCCATAAAATGGGCATTGTTGGGTTAAAGAGTAATGCTTATTTAGTTACTAACCATTTTGGACCGTTACAAAGTACTATATACAAACAATATATAGTTTACACAAAAAACAATGTGGTTCCGTGATATTTAAAAAATTCTAAAACGCGATTGAAAAACAGAATCCTAACCGAGTACCGATGGCATCTAACAGATGGTGATGTAAACATTTTTGTCTTGAAGTGGTGCGCGGGTGGTGTTTTGTGCAATTTGGGCGAGGACGGAGAGCTCTGTGTAGCGGAGGACGTAGACTGATTTATATAGGATAATCAAATATGCAACAAATTTTGGTTTTTATGTATGTAGGCAAAGGTATCTGTAAGTAGTTGGAAAATGTACAGTTTTTAATAAATAATAATAATAATAATAATACACATTCTCCTTTCCGTTCACATATGGAAGGCGAATGTGTATTTGCGCGCGACTGAATGTCTTACGCACATATCACTTAAAGGTCAATTTCGTAGCCTATAATAATTTACGGAATGGTTATGGAATGGATATGGTATGGAAACGTTATGTATAGTGAGAATCAGCCTCTAGTCTCCCAAAATTCAAAAACAATGTTGTAACTTACATGATTTATTAACGATTTATTAAGGAGGCACGTACAATCGATTATTAATTAATTGTATTTATCCGTATGAAACCTGAGCATACGCTAAGAGTATTGCCAATCTGTAATAAAAATGTGGCCACGAAATGGAAATGGCTGGCTGTGTAAAAGATGAAGAAAAAATATTTCAATTTCTGGGAAATGTTAAGCCTATACCTTTCCTTATTTGTTTTATCTTTTATTTGACATAACATCCAAGTTTTCGTATACATAAGTATATCATGTGATCAACTAAAATTAACGCTACTACTTGATAGTTCATTGAATTTCAAAATTCTCGTAGATTTCAATAATGTCGGAATTTTATTACAAGTTGTGACTTGTAAGACATAAAATGTATACTTTCACACATTTACATGGATAGTATCCTCACACCCGAAAACTTTTAATGTCAGACATACGAATACCGATTTAAAAGCATCGTAAATTTAGGCATTTTCAAATAAAAACCCGAAATAGCAGTATAGCGTGTATCATTGATGCATGTAAAATAAGTAATCTTTGTAAATATCCAATAAAGTTCACTTTTTATAGACATTGTCTGCTTGCTTCACCAATAAGAGAGAGTCTTAGGAAATTGGTTTAGTATGCATTAGATTGAATAACAATCAATTCGATTTATTTTATAACTTACCTGACGATTGCCATGAAGTTTTGCGACAAATTTGTGATGAACCGCGATACGCAAATTTGCACGTGTCACAATTTACCGTTTTACATTTACTTCCACAACCGACACCTTGAACTTGTATACTGTTAAAATTGAACTTGGCGGCTCAATCTGCAAGAGATTCTTTCTCGATTGGCCATATATGTAGAAATGTGACTCAGCTTGCTCGTTTCGAAGTACGTTGAAATTTTCCAGATTAACTATCGTCTTAATACAGTTAGACTTTACTGTTATGTTTTGGTTTTGTTTCATTGACTCGATTTATTTATTTGTAATACGAATGTAATTTTTTTGTAATTTTTAACTGTCGATCAAAATGTGCCATTATGAAAGTGTAACAGGATGCCAAGTATACAGACGTTAAGTAAGAAGTGGTATTTCCATTTCACCGTAAGGCATCAGGTACTTAATGGACCTATTTACCATTTGCCAATACACCTACACGATTTCGGATTGGTATCCGTTACGGTAATTGAAATGCAAAAAATCCGGCGGAATTCCAAAGAACTGATCTGGTTTCTTTTAGTTAATCGATACGTTCTTAAAATTGTTTGAGTAATTCCATAATAAGAGTCGTTTACGATCCGTTCCTAAATAAATTATTTCTAAAATAAAATGGATTTTCATTCATACTTGCAGAACTAGTCCGGGATAGGATACAATATATACTCGTATCATGTGGAGAACAGGGTAAAATAGGGCGTTGCAAGAAAGTGCATGGCACTGGCAGTTGGAGGGAATGTGGAACGGAGGTATATTGTACAAGAACCATCACTTAGGCTTCGTTTACCAAAATTTCGGGTAAATAGGACAAACGCATTTAGTCTTTTTCCTGAAACCTTTACCATAGGTTATTTTAGTAAAAGCTCGTTTGCACATTGCACTGGAAACCCATTGAACGTGTATGGTAAAAATTGAGCGTTTGATACGTGGAGCAAATTTCTGTTTGACATATCTGTTTGATGACTGATCCTTCTAATAAGTGCAAATGCATTGTAGGTGGAAATACTGGGCTTTTGACTTCATATCTCGTAGTTTGACAATCATTGAGTGCGCATGGCTAGAATTCGCTCTGTGTTTTGTGACCGGAAGCGTATAACAAAGAATTTCGGGCGAGCGATTGGTTTATGTCGATCTCACCTTCGGCTTGCTCGGCATAGGCTTTATTTTGGGACCGGAACCATGTAACGCTCCACAATTTCGAGCGAGCAGTTTGATTTAAACCGATCTCGACTTTGGCTCGCTCGGCATTGGTATGAACTCTTTGTTTTGTACCAAAAAATCGGCAGATGGAATTGTGTTTCGGACCTATGGTGTTGCAAATGTAATTAGGCACCTTTGAAGCTTTCTTTAGCGGTTCCACCGGTTACGTGTCCAAATTTTAATAATAATAATAATAATATCATTTATTGAGATGCACAAAGATGTTACAAAGAACTTTCATTGCAATTTCGAATTTTTAATTGGATGAATTGTTAATATCCTATGAACAGTTATGCTTAATAATTTCTGTTAGACTTGGCCTTGGCATTGAACTGCCAAATATCAGCTGATTGATAACAATTTCCAAAAGTTGGGGATTTTGATACCAATTTTCTTCAATTTTTTAAGTGTGACTGGCATGGAATAGTTCTCAAATTTACAAAAAAGGATTTGGTATTTAATCCACCATCATCTCATCTTGGGGATTTAAAGTAAAAGCCGAGTGGAAGATAATTAATTCAGTTAAAGAAGAGTGTAATTAACCATTTAATTAATTATTTTATCGTCACATGACGGAGATTTGCAACTGTCCATGTGGCACACATTCTAATTCAGCTCAATAGCATCACGAGGTGATATAATTTTCTTAATTCTCTATTTAGATTGTAATATTTCCATCCTCACTTGCAGCTGTTTCGACCGGATTCATTTCTACCGAATATTAATACCAGATTTGTTGCGTACCGACCGTCAATGTACCCCACGTATTTGCACTAGTATTGATTCAGCTTTGTAGTTTCCTATGCTAAACCCTAGTCTACATTCCCTAATTCAACAGAAAACGAAGGACAAAACTTTACTATCCAAATCGAATTTGACACCGGAAGATAAGATGAATTCCGCAAAAAAAAATTGTCTCAAAAGTTATAAAGAAATTCCAGACAGTGCAGCCACAAAAATCTACCTCCAAATTATGAACAATTTAATTAAAAGTTTGATCAGTAAAGAAGAAAGTCTTTCTAATCGATTATACAGCATTTGGTAGTAATATTTTGGCGCCAATGGATAAAGGATCACGGCGATTTTAAACTAAAGGACAACTCCATTTCTTCCAATTTATATGCTTGCATTGAACTGAACGGACACATGTTAATTAAACTCATTCGATTATTTAGAGAAAAAGATTACTTAACTGTAATATGTTTTGTCCTTGACTATACAGTAGTCAAATCTCTGAACAACTGTTTAGAACCGCACGATCTCTTACTTCAACTTATTGCACTATGGTAAATTTCAGCATTAAGGAGTTGTGATCTAGAATTAATCGGATAACACTGATCAACAAAATTCAAATTGACTTGGGGGAATTGTTCACTTTTCCAAGAGAACAAAAAAAAATGCATTTCGCATATGGTTCAGGGAGATGAGATTAACAATATGAATATTGGCACAAAAATTCCTCGTGCAAAAAAAGATGCATTTAATAGCGAAGAGGAGTTTGGAATGAAGGTAAACATTAACGCGTGCAATATATTGGGTTTGCCAAAAAATTTTGACCACGTAGATGCGATATAGAAGAGGAAACTATTGACGAAAACGTCTGTGAAGTTACCAATGAAGTTTGTATGGACAACAATACCGTAATGCAATTTCAAGATAATTTAGAAGACCGACTAGAAGACAGTGAAGATACCGAAAATGACAAAAACCATTTAAACAGTCCATGGATATGAAAGATTACTCCCATAAAAATATCGATTTGTCAGAAAAGAGTCATCAATATTTGAAAATAAATCTGCCAAATAACAAATCAGCAGTTATTAAAAAATCCTCATACTGTGTCTTTTAGAAGAAGGAAAAGGAAAAGTATAAATACAGATAGACTTCGAAGATTTATTGAAAATAAACGAAAGGCATCGGCATCGGTTTCAGCTGCTGAAGATTTAAAACAATCAAAATTAAATAAAACTGAGTAAAACTAGCTGTGAATCTTCTTCAGATGTCGAGTCAGATTCGCAAGATGATTCGAGTGAAGAATTTTCTTCGGAAAATAAAGACTGTGATAATTGCCAAATCATCGACATACGGACAGAACAATGTATTACGCAGTAATCAGTATCGTACCATAAAGACCGGTATGTTGGGAGAGTGGCGCAGTAGTGCGATACGGAAAATTCCTCATATACTATGAAATTTCTGAAAAGAGTCATCAATTCATATATATGGCCGAAAAACCCGGATGGTTGTTGTGGAAAAAAGGTTAGTTTTACAATCATGCACGTACAATGAGATAATGTTTTTATTTGAGGTATATTTTCTACGGTCCCATTACGTTAATAGGTGTAGTACCCTTACAAATAGGAAGATGTGATTTAACAGCAATAAATAAATTGTGTATGTATTTTATATAATATACATATATCTCTTTTATGTACTTCTAAAAATGTTAAGCTGATTCAGAGAGAAAAGTTATGTTCCGTTAAGGCCGCTAGACATGGAGCAATACAACGCGCAAGAACTTGCAGAAAGAAATTGCAAGGTCAAATTCTTGCATGCAATAAGCATTGCATGGTATTTGACATGGTGCAATTCTATTTCAATTGCCACATGTCTGCCAACAGAAGAAACATATGGATTTGTCAACAAAGCTGCTAACCTCAAATAAAAATTGAATTTTGATTGCTTGAAGAAACATGAAAATTACAAGAATAAATAAGATTAATAAAAACAAGTAATGAGTGCGTCTCTCAGTATCATAGTTGCCGCCGCTGTATTTTACTAGGTTGGTGACACAAAAACAACTAGATTTATCCCTAGAATTGCGCGATTCATGCAAGAAAAATAGCACCGGTCCTATAAAAATTGCACGCAAGTCTCTTGCAGCAAATGATCAGCTAGCTTTGAACTGCGCATGCCTTTCGCAATTTTTCTTGCAACTTGCATGCAATTGCAATTTTTATTGCTCCATGTCAAGCGGGCTTTAAGGCCGCTTTACATACTGCAATTCTTTGTGCAATACAGTTGCAGCAAGTTATTGCAAAAATACTGTACATGCAATAATTATTGCACTTTGGTTTTACACGCGGCAATTTTCTTTTTGCAATAGTTTGTTACCAACATTCGCATTTAAAATTGAACTAAAAGCTTTATTCTATTCAAAATTCATCAGGTGTTGTTATAATTCTGAATGCGTTTTGAGTAAAAATGAATAGACACTTTAATCGAAAAAAAGGCAGTCGCAGCTTCAATTTGTGTAGTAATAGTAGTAATAATAACAAAGTCTAGTTTCAACGTTTGGGAATTCTAGAACCTGGCGTTGTCAATACTTTCCCCCAAAATATCACGTGCAAGTGCAATAAAAATCGCGCGCAACCGCTAACCTGCAATTGCAAGTGAATTGCCAAAATGAATCAGCTGTTTCTCAAACGCGCATGCTTCTGGGCAAGTTTTATTGCGTATTGCATGGTCTTGCATGAAGAATTGCAGTATGTAAAGCGGCCTTTAGTGATATGGATTCCTTTTATTTTTTGTTACTTCATGTATCTTAAATAGAACATGTGTTTATTGTATTTTTCCTATTTATTTATAAATGACAGGGAATATCGTCCAAGGCTAACCTACCCATTGAATTCAATATAAAACAAAACAACTCTGTCCATACTCGGATTTGGACCAGAGACCGCATACTATTACTGGCAGAATATCAAGGGAGCCCACGTAATTATTTGCTAGTTAAACCACTAACCAGAGACTTGTAGTTAAACTGTAAACGAACAATTAAATAATTTGCCAAGTATATAGCCGTATT